AGAACACTGAAAAAGGGAGAGGATCCAGTCCTCATGCAGCTGAGAGACCAGAGAACACTGATAATAGATAAGGAATTATTTTAAGGTGAAATTGGGTTTTTAGAAGGTCCATCGAAGAACTGTCTTCTTTTTCACCGAAGATCTGACCTGACTGTGAAATAAAAGGAAAGGGTAAGGCAGATGGGAAACGCACAGGGAAGCGGCTACCAGGGAACATGGCTTGTACCTTCAGGCACATGGACTGCCGGACGCCGAACCTCAGAGTTTGTCCAGCTGGTCTGCCAGTGGCAGGCAGCCTGGGCCAGGCCAGGCTCCCACCTGCAGCGAGAGAGCCTGCATCCCCAGAAAACCCACAATGAGAGCAGCAGCTGGCCTGGGAAAGAACACTCCTCGCAGAATGTTCTTTCAAGAGGGAAAAGGAGGAGGAGGAGGACGAGGTTACCCAGGCCCAGGTTCCCCTTCTCCTTCCTCTTTATGTAAATTAGTATCAACTTAGCGTCAGTGAATTGAGGGGCAGAGAGACAGAGGCCGGGAATGTGCTGCCAGTGGAGACTCACCTCGTGTGGAGGGAAATACCAGGAGTGGGGAAAAAACAGCTCTACCACCCCCACCGGGGGTGTGTGCGCACGTGTGTGAGTGTGTGAGTGAATCAGAGAGTGTGTGTGTGATAGTGCACACAACAAGGACCTAACCCTACCTAACATGGGAGGTGACATTTCATCTGAGATTCAAAGGACTGCTACAAACCTCGTGATAAAGTGCCAGACACAATCCAGAACAAATTAAGCAAGTGCACTTCTCTCCTTCCCTCTCTAGCTTTCTTTATAAAATAAAACTCTACGGAAGTGTTTTATTCAGTTATTCTGTTAACAAATGTATATTTAATGCCTATTAAAGGCAGGCCACTTTACCAGGCAGGAGAAATAGAAAGATTAATCGGATGTGGCTCTACCCTCCAGGAGCACCTGGATGGTCAGTGTGGGGTCAAGTCCTCCTCGGGGTTAACAGACAGGCAAGGCGGGGCTCGGAGTGTTTGTCCCTTGTTGAAAGACAGGAAGAGCTCTTAGGAGCTATCTTAGGGTTTAATGGGTTTGTGTGGGGAAGGAGAAACTTCTTGTTAAAGAGAGGAGGTGGTATTTGAGCCAAGTCTTGAATGGTGAGTAGGATACAAATGGGATAGTGTATCCGACTCACTAGAATGAATAGCATCAGCAAAGGCACGGGGGCAGGACATCAAAGGATGGCTCTTTGCAGGGATCAGTGAGTAATCCAGTGTGTCTTTTATACTACATTAGAGGGAAGTGTTGAAAAAGTCAACTTTGAAGAAGAGATGCGAGCTAGGCCCTTGAAAGTCAGTGTAAGGGTTTGCCCACACTTTGCCCTGCAAGGGTGCTGATAGAAGTCGCTGGGCAGGAGGCAGACATGATGAGATGGGCGTTTGAGAACACTTGGTCACTGTGCTCTTGCGTGGATGGGAACAGAACTGAAGGGAGGAGGACTGCTGGATGGCTTTGGAATTCCAGCCCTGATTGTCAGCAGTGGAACTGAGGGTGGAGCAGTGGGTAGATCCCAGGGGCTGCCCCATCCTGAGGCTTCCCCAGCAGTGCTCCAAGTGAACAGCTGGGGGGTAAAAGCCAGGCAGCCATGTCCTGATGACTGGGACTGGTCAAGGCCGATGCACAGGTAGCTCATGGGTTGTGAAGGCAGGCGCCCTGCACGTGTGAGCTCTGGGGTTCCAGCAGGACAGGGTCTCATGCCAGGTGCCCTGGGATCAGGGAGTGGAAGGGGGTGGGTAAGAGAAGAGACCCTGGAACACTGGCAGGTGGGCAACAGCCGGGTGGAATCTGTGGTGCTCCACAGGGGGCACAAGCAATCGAAAGTCTTCTCTACTGGGGCTTGTCTCGCCATGTAAGAATTGGGTACCAAAGACAGAGAGAACAAGTAAAACCAGACCCACAGCGATAGCCTTGCAGACAAACCCATGACCATGAAGAAGCCATATCAGAGCAGTGTTTCGAGCCCCTGTGTGTAGGTCTCAGCCATAGCTGTCATTTCTTCCCCAAGGTGACAGTGCCCCTCCACCATGGTGTGGACTTCATGATTTTCTTATTCTCCAAAGGAGAAAGGAGCTTATTAAGTGAAGTGGCTGCCAAGTGTATTTTAAGATGAACAAAGCCTAGATCTTTTTTTTCCCCCACCACATACCGTACGTAATTGTGTGAAGGGCAGGATTTATTTGGTTTGCATTATGATTCTTTCCCCCAAGCTTAATTACAGTGTTAACACAGCAGCTACAGCTTGAAAGAAACAAGTTCCACAGTCATGGGGACCAGCATGACCATTCTGGGTTTGAAACACAGTTTCTTTGTGCAGGGAATTAATTGTATATGAAACTTTGGGGCTTATGCAAAACATATTTCTATGAAAATAAATGTGAATAGTCATTAAAATGAATAGTTGTTTCAAAAGGAGACTCCAACTGCATGTTGGAGCCAAGGAATTTTAGACGCCTCCCTTATTGGCTTCATTTCGGGTTGAACTCTGCATTTCTTAAGACAGCATCAGAGCCCCAGAGGTACGCCTTAGCTCACATTTAGGAATCAGATGTATAATTCCAATCATACATTATTAGGGGAGGTAAGGAAGTGAAAAGCTTAAGTAGTATTCAGGTCTAAAGAACTTCATGAAGAAGTCATCCTGTGCTGGAGAATCCAACATGTAGTAGAAAGTGTTGTCTGAGCGTTTGGCCTCAGACCAAGGGACCTAGGAATGGGATGCAGCCTGTCAGCTTTGGGGAGCTCTTTGGACAACCTGTAAATCAGAAATGTGGGAGATAGTCCCTACTTTCCCACCTGCCAGCATTGACATGGGACATCTGTGGCTTAGAGCTCTGTGCGGTTTGGGGGTCAGTTCAGAGCTGAAGCTTGAGATTAAGCAACATACTTCTCTGAGGTTCATCAGAGGTGAGAAAAGTGGCCTTGGACTTGGGGGAGGGGGCCACATAGCCAGAAAGGTGGAGGAGGTCAGACCCCTTTGTGCTTGGCATTCTGTACTGCTCCCTGCTCCACACTGCTTCTCCTTAAGGCTTTGCTTTCCTTCCTGCACTGAGATTCTTGTTATGTAGTCAAACATCCACAAAGAAGGCAAATACTCAAAGTTGTGTGCGGGGATATATGAGAAGAGTGCCCTCATCTGGCATCGTATCAAGGTGCATCCTTTAATTGATGGCACACTGGCCTCAGTTCCAGGATGAGTAATGACACCATTTTGTATTTCCCATTGGGTTGTTATAAATTCTCAGCAATGCGGTGCCTCTTCCTACAGAGCTATCTCCTCTACCTGATTACCTGACTTTTTGCTTATGCGTCTTACCTAGTTTGAACAAAGAGACCCAGTGGCAGTCAGAGGCCAATCTGAGCTGCTGTAAGGTCTCCTGGCTTTGCAGGGACTGCTGGTCGCTCTATTGTCCCTGCTGACCTCTGGGCATACTCCTCTGCCTATCTATTTCCATCTCCTGCGGTGCTGAAAGTGTGTACAGACTGTGGTGTGAAGGTATCAGATACACTGGTCTCATGGCAACCACACCTGGGCCCCTTGGAAAAGCAAAGCCACCTGTGGGGTTCTGCAGGACCCCTAGGTGTGAGGCTGAGCCTTACGTCTGATGGTTTGGGAATGAGGACCAGGCCTGTTTCACCTGCACTTGGAGGAGGGCCCCAAGGCATGGCAGGGAACACTATAAATAATTTGGGAAGACTCTTCAGCAATTTATTTTTCCTGGTGTGAAAACACATTTGAACTTGGAAGTTCCCAAGTGCATTTGGGTCTGGCCCCCAAGTGCATGACTGGGAACACAGAAGCTTGACATTTCCCTTCCCTTTTAGGGCATGGCTTGGTGGATCAATTCAAGCCCATTAAGATTTTCAGAATGACAGGAGGAGAAAAATCCTTTCAGAGAATGTTCATAAGATACTGTGACCGAACACCATTTCCTTGGGCCTGGACGGTTTTCTTGTTTCAAAAATCCCATCAATCGCCATCCCCTCCTCGAGGCTGAGCATCTGGTTTTCACTTCCCTGTTTCTTGACACAAAAGCCCATAGCAAAGGCTTGTAGACGTATGAATTACATACTTGTTAGTAACACTGTGTTGCCTCATGTTTAAAAGGTAATGTGGAAAGAGCTTTCAATTTTTATGGTTTTTTAAATATAAAGAAATAATTGTCCTTCCAACGTGGGGGGTGGGGTAGCCATCAGGGTTGGGAATCTTGGCGTGCAGACATGGGCTTCGCTCCTACCCAGTCTTCTGATCCTTGTTTGTCGGATTCTCAAGTAAAATGGTGTGTGTGTGTGTGTATGTGCCATGTCTCGAGTGAACTGTTTTCCTGCAGGAGCACAATGGAGTTTTCAAAAAAGTCTAAATGATCGCCTCTACCCCAGGAGCACATCTGTTGCACAGAGTGAGGCCCATTCCATCAACGCAGTTGCCTTTGGAACAGTGAAGTCATCCCCACCTAATGCCTGAGAACAGAAACGAGGATAACAGGCCAGTATGAAATATTAAAGTTTTTCACATTTTGCTGTTCTCTTCCAGAGAACACAAAGAACATTGACATATTTTCTGGAGCCCAGGTGGATAGCTAATGGACTGGAGAAGCTTTCAACTCAACTGGGGCGATACATAAAGAGAAAACTTAATTACAGTTAGGATTCAGTGGGTTAACCAGATAAACAAGTTGCCTCTGTGTTTTGTGGCGTCTAAGAAGCTATTGATTTTAAGATGCACCATTATTTTATGTACCTCTGAGGAAAAAGTGCTGCCAATTAAACTATGACCACAATGCTCTGTAATTTAGAATTGCAATTTTGCACATATTGAAAGAACTCTTTAAGGCTTATGTAAACACTTGTGCATGCATTAAAATGAAAATATAAGCAGAACACATTGGTTGCAAAACTCCTAAACTGTCTTCACAAGAGGAGATCTTCTGAGTGATTCCTTGACTTAGAGTTGTTTGTGGTTCTCTGTGTAGCTGTCCCCCCTGTGACGTCAGGGGCAGTGATCATGCGCCTTTGTTCCCAGAGCACACTACACCGTCGACCTGTGCAGTCTTCCCTGCCCTGGACACCCACTTACAAGTTCTAGAGCTGATGCTTTCTTAATCTTTCCAGAAGGTAAGAACCAGGAGATAAGACACATCTCTCTCTCTATATATATCTATTTTTCCCCCCAAGTGGTTGTTAAATGGTTTGTTGACTGAAAGACCAAGGCTAACAGTAGTGTAACCTTGCCACCAGAAGGACAATCAAGTAAGCTCAGGTGTGGGCAGTGACGAAGCTATAGCCTCCGCCTTGTTTGCTAACAGTTGTGAGATGCCCCAGCAACTCTGTGAGGGCTGCCTTGATGAGGGGACTCCCACTTCCTGCTCACTTTGTCCCTAATCTCAGATAGCCGTGATCTGTAGAGCAGTCTTAGGAGGAAGCCATCAAATTCAGTGCTTGAATGAGGATGGCTGATATCCCCAGTGGCCAAGCCTGGTAGGTTCATTCCACGAAAATGAGAAGTAGAAGAGAAAGGGTGCAGCACAGATTCTTGACGTTGAGGACTAGTAACTGCACCTACTAGTAATATGCGGTTCAAGGAACAGTTGAGCTTCAGAAGCTTCTGCTTCAGGAAGTCTTACCCCAAACCTTGCTGTGCTTACACAGTACCTTGTATTGAGCTCTGTCACAGCATGCTCCAGGCTGTGTGGCATGCCTCTGTTTGTGTGACTGCTGTGACCTCTTTGAGAGCAGCAGCCATTGCCATTCGTCTTTGTAACCCAGTGTGTAATGCAATGCCCAGGCCTTTGCAGCCTTTGGGTAAATGTTTGTCAAAAGACTGAGGATGGAGAGATGAGGGCAGGAAATGCTCAGGGTCAGGGAAATGTCAGCCAGGTTTAGGAGGGGGGGTGGAGCTGTTTGGCTTAGTGTAGGCTGCATGAAAGGAAGCAGTAAATTCAGAGCATGAGGTGGGGCTGGTGCCAGTTCATGGAAGACCCTGAGGACTGTCAGGAGGGAGATTGTGTGACTGCCCTGAACGTGACAAAGACAATTTCAGAGCACCCATGTGGAATCCTGTCAGTATGTTGGAGTGTAGAAAACAATTAATGGGGCAAAACAAACCGGTCAGTATTGACCATGTTCCAGATGAGGTTACCCAAGGCAGAAAACCTGAAACGCATGAAACTTCAGTAAAGCAGAGTATCTTTTAAAAGTAACATTTATTCATTGGAAGATTCCACCAAGATTAATAGGGTGACTATGGACCAGGCACTGAGGACACGGAGATGAATATGTATCATTTGCACCTCGAGGATCCCAGTTTGTAGGAGATACAGATCTGCACATATCCACGTATGTAACTTTAGATGTGTAAACACACAGGGCATATGTAAAAGGGAAGAGTATTTGGAATTCAGTGTGTTATACTCAGACTACTGTGGGTGCACAAAGAAGGGATTATCTTCATGTGGGGGAGTGTCAATGAAAATTCTGAAGGGCCGAGATGATTCTTAAAATATTTGCAACCAAGACAGAATTAATTGTCCTCTGTAGAAGTATTTCTCACAGGAGACTGGTACCCCCTAGCAAGAGGGTTCTGTGGTCAACTAAGTTTAGAAAACAGAACGTAACGTACTCCATTCCCACCTTAGAATTCACGGTATGCATTAGCATATTAAAACACCCCAAGGTCAGCAATAAAAACAAACAAATGAATAAGCAAACAATGAACAAAACGCCAGCTTATTTGGTTTGGCTTAGTATACCATTTTTCCAAACTCAGTTGACCACTGAGCCTTTCTGTGGCAGAGCACCTGTTACTGTCTCACGCCTATTAATATCCCTACGTCATGGTTTGGGAAACACAGCTGATGCCTGATTTGGGTGGGGGATTGTCTGAAGTCATCGGGCATGGCTTTCCAATACCATGAATTTCTGCTCTTTGGGTTCTTATGAAAACTTGGTATTTATTATAGTAAGTGAATGCACGTGTTCATAAGCATGGTTTGTACCTTTCGGTATCCAAAATTCTCCTAACCAAGATCAAAGCAAACATGTCCATCTCAAAAGGCATAGAACTTCGTGTGGGAATGACTACTGTATTGCTATTAACTGTTATCACACTATAATGTTTTCTAATGTTCATTAAATAATTTAGAGACTGGAAAAATGCATATATATATTTAGACACTGTCTTTAGTGAGTTCTTCCAAGTAGAATAAGAACTTCTAAGATATTCTACCTAATCGCAATGCGTTCTTAGACTTTAATTTTCTAAGTAATTTTGGTACCAATGCAGAAATCATTTATCAAATTACCTGGAGTTTTTTTTTTTCATCTCAGTGGCTGTATACTGTAAAGCTCAAAGAAAAAAAGAACCCCTAGGGTTATAATAAAAAAGTTCAGCTTTAACTGAGCAAATAAAATAAATGTTAACCATTTTACTTGTTCTGAAGATTCTATTGTGTCCAGAAGGTTTGAAATGACTTTGGCTTTGTGATCACCACTATTCTGGATTGAAACATCTTGTCAAACCTGTCTGCAAAGTGAAATCTCATGTACCAAACCCATATTTCCAGTTTAACCCGAAATATATTCTGACTTATAGACCTACAGGCATTATTCAATTTATATGCATTGCTTGATGGGCCAAGAACACTAAAATGTGGATGTGGTCATCTCTAGTCTTCCAGATGGTCAGGCCCCTTCTTTTACTCCAGCTAGAGACTGTGGCAGGACTTAGCAAAGCACTGCAGCCCATGACCAGACAAACACTACAGGTGGTGGCTTTGTCACTGTGTGATTGTTTGAGAGGTGGCTTCAGGACTGACACTATTTCTCTTGTGTGCATTTGGGTCAAGAGAAGGTTTTCAAGAAATATTTGTTAAATGAATGGACAATTGAATGAACAGACACGTACCAGGACACCTTAAACTACATTCAGACTTGAGCCTTCCACACATCAGAGGGCAGATCTATGGATTTCTGAGGCAGACAGTGATTTGCCCTTGACTTCCACACTCATCGTGAACCTGATGATGAACGGTGAGTCCTCAGAAGAGCTAGGCCTGAAAACATTCCCTTTCATCTTCCTTCCAAAGTTGAGTTCCCCTCGACAGCCCTCCAGCCAAGTCCCCTCTTTCTGGGAAAGGTGCCAGGAGGGAGGAGTGGGTGAAGAAGCACTGAAAGGCAGCTAAGGGTAATGAGAAAAGCACATCTCACTGAACACGCAGCCTCTTCTGCCTCGGCTTTGCTTGAGTGAGCTTGTGGGAGAGGCTGAAAAGCACATTCTTTAAAATCCTGGCCCTGGGAAAGGAATGCATCTCAGGCAGAAATGTCAGCATGGCTCTGCCCTGACCATGGGACAGTTCTTTTACTGTTGACTTTTTGAGAGGATAAAACCCACCCCCCTTCTCCTGCATGCTAAGGATGGTTCACAGAACTGATGCAATTTCAAGCCCTCATTCAGCCCAACTGTATTGGATTTTTATCACAACTCAAAGATTTTACAAATTGCATTTCTACCCTTCCTTGTTGGCCTCTTTCCCTGTCACCCCCATCTCAAAATCGAGTTTTGTTCAGAACCAGCTGCTCTAGATGGCCAAGTAAACCTTTGCTCTTGACCTGGGGGTCAGCTGAGTCACATCCATTTCCCTCCACTTTGTAAAAAGCCATTCAGAGCCTCCACCTCTCCTGTTGCTGCAGGTTGGGTCAGATTGTGGGTGGCTGGAGGATGAGCTCATCACTTGTCCCACTGCCCGGTGCACAGCTCATCTTGTTGAACTGTCACTTGCTGATTTAAATCTGAGTTTTCCTCAAACATCATTCTTCAGCTATTTTTGCCCTGGAAGACTTTAAGCATTGCTTCTTTGAATGCATTCCATCTTTGTTTGGAAATTTGGCTTTGCTGATTTCTGACCTTACAATAGACCTTACAATTCTAAAGTAGTGCTACTTTAGAATTGGCCAGATATCACTTATTCCCTTGCATTTGGAAAGACAAACTGTGACTCCTACAGACAAGGGGCTTCTGGCTGGCTTTGCTCACTCTAGTCTTGGATTTTCATAGGCAGACTGTCTGCCACTGAACAAAAGACCATAGTGATCAGTCTGAGGCTTCCTGGAAGGAAGGGCTGATCGAACATTTCCACATACAGACATTCATTGGATGCGTATTTTATGAAAGACCTCAAGGGTGGTGGTCTGATAAGACTACTGCATGTAAAGTGGAGCCTCAACATAGACAAAATCTGTTCTTTCAGTCATTTGCTTGGGTATTGTATGTCCTAGCACTTCAGTAGGTAGTAAGTGAGTAACAGGAATATATAGTTTATCTTTTGACTTAAAATGAAATAAGGTATACATATCCACAACAAAGGAATATTTTGCCAGGACTAAGATCACAAGCAATGTCTCTAGGTTCACAGGAAGAAGGAGGTATGGCTGGGAATGAAGCAAACACAGTAGCTGAGTGTCCTGAGCCCTGAACAAAGCTTCTGTAGGGCTTGAGGTGGGCAGAGAGAGGAATCTTTTCTGTCCCTGGCCCTAAGGATCTTGTGATCAATTGGAAGAGAAGAAGTACACGCAGTTCTCTGTGAATGCCTGTTCAGGGAGAGGTACATTCCTGGGGGTGTGAGCTGTGGCTGGCTGCCACTGTCCAATCAGCCCCAGTCATTTGTCCCTCCCACAGCATGGTGGGCAGATGGCCCCTGGAAGTTAGTCTGGTTCTAGAAAGCCTTGCCTCTCTATTTTCAACCACACCTGGCAGGGATGGTCAGGGAAAACCGGCAACCACCTTAGCTTTAGTCACCACTTTGTACCCTTGCATCTTTCTCTAAACCAGATTCCAGCCATCTCCATTTTCTGGTTTTCTAAGTGACTTTGATTTTTAGTGTAATTACAAGTGTCTTGGGCTTTTAAATTTAATGAATTGGTTTTTAAATAAATGCAGAGACACTGGAGGAAAGGGCATGGCAGATTTTTACCTTAGTCTCCAGCCATTAACCACTGGTCCATGCTCACCTGACCACTGGAGTACTGGGGACTGGGAGGTACAGTCTGCAGGACTTCAGCCATCTGCATGTTGAGTGTTAAATTCCTTTGGTTTTTAAGTGCAGGTGGCATTGTGCCCC